CCGGCCAGTACCAGGACCTGAGGGAGCACCTTTCTCCATGGCCTGAGATGTGGACCTAGCCAGAAGCACCCCTCTTCTCCCTTCCCAGGGCACACTGACGGGCAGGCCTGCACGGGAGGAAGAGGATGCAGTGGTGGCACCTTGGGTTGCCCCTCCTGCCTCTGCCTCGCTGAAGGGAAGAGGGTATGCCAGCCATGCTGGCCTCCTCAGGATGGAGTTGCAGGCGCTCCACAAGGCCAGGCAGCATGCATGGACATAAACCAGTCCTTAAGATGCAGCACGAAACGGAGCACAAAACTGTGGAAGCCTCTGTGGGAATAGCTGCGTCCAGTGACTGGGTGTCAATCACAGTGAGAATGGCCTCTGCTGATATTGACCATCACTAGATCTGACTCTTCTTAACATGTCAAATGATGATTCTTCTGCTTCTTTACTACCACCAAAAATGTAACTTTTGTTTTCCAAAAGGACTTACTATTTCTCAAGAAACAAGTTAGGATCTATTACTTCATCATCAAATGCTTCATCGATATAATAAAGGTCTCTGGCTTCACGATTAACCTCCACAGTAATTTTATCTGACTTCCTCTTTGCAAAATCTGGTATACTTTTTCACACAGCTTAGGGGTGGCAAAGGACAGTTGATAGTTGTAATGGTGTTAGGGATTCCAAGCCATTTCGGCAGCAAAGTCAAACAGGTTAGGACAGACCATCTTCGTTGTTCAACTGCACTCAGAAGTAGGCTGGCAGCACCGTAGCAGTCAGGCACAGCAGCAAGACCGATTAAGACATGATGGCTTTTCCACAATTAGATAACCATTCTGTACTGCCTGTCTGCGTGAGGGCTTAGACTCAGGACCAGAGCAAAGAGCTTAGTTTAAACACTGCTTGCTTAAACTGACCTCTTGACTTCTGTGCTGGGATGGCAGAGGAGTATGCGCACGTTTACGTACAGCAAGGAGACACCTGAGTAAGAGCAGTCAAACCAAAGGAAACTATAGCTTCATATTCTGTCCCTACTACTGCCTCATAGTAGATGGTAAGGCATGAAATGGCAGAACAGGGAAGGCATGCAGAGGTATGTTCCCCCCTCCAGCTGTCTGTAACATCGACTTCTTGAATTAGAATTTGTACTCCTGCATTTAATAGACTGTCATGTGCTACATCTGTGAATTTGCGCAATTGCTTTTTGGCCCCATCTGAAATATTGGCATTCATAACAACATCTGCCAATGAATTCCACCATTTTGTTGTGTGTTGTGTGGGAAGACACTTCTTTTGCTCGTTTCGGACCTGCTAATTTCATTGGGCATCACCTTGTTCTCACGTAGTGAGAAGCCAGCCATCCATTCATTTGTTTCCTAGGCGCTTTCCCAGGGTTCTCATGATTTCATAGGTATCTGCCATATCTCCCTTCAGTTGTCCCTTTTTCAAGCTGAAAACTCTAGATCAGTTAAAGCTGTTCCAAGCTTTAGTTGGCCTCCTTTCATTACCCTGTGCAATTCTTGAGTAGCAAGGATCATAACAGCAGCCAGTGTACAGAAGTGAGGCTACTTTGTGATTTTGTATAGTGCTGTAAAGGTCTTTGCTGTTTGGTATTCTGTTCCTTTTTTTAAATACCCTAACTCCCAATGGAAGTTTTTGATTTCCATTCACCATGAGGCTCATGCTTTCCTTTAGTATGCTTTCTTCATCTTTTTAAGAATTAAACACAATTTAAATCATTTTTGGTGTGCTTTTTGTTCCTGTAGGAGGCTGTATTTTGGTACCTTAGGTTTCAACAGTAGCATCTTGAACCAGGCCCTATGCCTTGCTCAGGCAGGATCAGAAGTTGTTGCGTTTCCAAGAGATTTTCCAAACACCATTGCTACAAAGGTTATTTATGGTATCTAAAATTTTATTCTCTGCATTATGCCTTGATGTGACATTTGCCCAGCCTTTATGTGAGTTAGTCTTCCATTATGATTATGTTTTCTGTCCTCACTGACTTGGTCAGCATGTCACCACCAAGGTTGAGAAGTCCATGGCAAGCGCTAATGCTATACTTCTGCTTTGGCGTAGAATTTCAAAACACAGAGAAGCTTTCTAATAGAAGATGCAATTTACACTGATTCTAATTTCTCTTTAATGGAGCATCACTCCTCCATTGAACTGGCTGGCCCTCTCATCCGATACGTTTTTCCTTTCTAATTATACTGATTCTTTTCACAGTTTTTCTGGTACACTTATTATGTCAATATCTGTGGTTCAATTTCTTATTTTTATTGTCCTTGCTTATGCATATATTTGAATTAAGATAGATGGATCAATCAAGTAATAATGCAAGACTTGCTTTTAAATCAATCATTATTTCATCATATAAGGGGAAAATAGCATGTTATGTGAGAGGGCAGAAAGTGGAAATTATATTGCTTTTTCAGTTTGAAACTGGAAGAATGAAATCCTCTTTGGCTTCTAGTCTTAAATGTGCAATTTTGTTTCTCATGTTTTGATACATATTATATTAACATAAAACTTTTGTCTCCCATTAAAATATACAGTAGGTCTAGGTTAAAAAGACTGTTTAATTTCCTAAAATAGAACAAATACGTCCTTCATTTAAAACAGCTTTTAGTGTCAGCCCTCTTATCTACCGTTCAGGATATTATCGTTAGCTTACAAATGTGGTAGTTATAGCATTTCATATTTCTTTAATACATCATTGACCTTTAAAAAGTAGAGGTTTTGTACTGCACTTGATTTTGTATGACAGTGGCAAAACTAAGAAAGAACACAAAATAGCCAAGGTACTGCACTTTTAAATACGCTATTGTATCAGATTGGACCTATAACCTTTGGGTTTGTGTACTGTTATTTCTGGAATCAGTGGAAAAGTTTCACAAAGCTTAGGGCAGCTATGGCACTGATACACTTCCAAATGGTAAAATGGTATAGGTTAGGGAGGAGGCTTTTAAATTGCAGGCTTTTAAATCTTGTTGTTTTCAAAATATGTAACATTACAGGCACAAATTTCATTAATACAGGTAGCATGCTGTTAAGGAAATACAAAAGTAGATTTTCAACTTAGCATTGCCTTCAAACCATCTGTTATCAGGTACTATCAAATGCTATTAATACAAAGTCCTGTCAGAGTTCAGAAATTTGACTGTGACCAGATCTAATTTTGACATTTTTTGGAGGTACGGTTTTACAGCAGAGCAGTGTAGGTTTCTTCTCCCCTCATAGACCTCACATTCTGCTCCCCTGCTTCAGCACCGAGATTCTGAGGAAGCTGGTGCAGAGTGTGGCAGAGCAGGTCGCCTTCAGCAGCCCACAGACAGTGACACAAGGCCAGGACTCATTCCCCCGACATCAGGGCTGCATGTTCTATCTCATAAAATCAAAAGAAAATCTTTAGCAAGTCAGTTGTTCCTTATGCCATCTCTGAAGCCCAGAGTGAATATGAGGGGCATTTAACACAGTAAATTTTCTTAGTGTGATACAGTTCCAGAAATAATTTGCTCTGAATAGCATTCTGCTAAACCACTGTGAAAATTCATAGAGTAAGAATGTAGTAAGCAGTAGTTGTAAGACTGCTCAATTACTTAACTATATTGAGGTGGTATTGCAGCTCAACATTGTACTTCATTGCAAAACACAAAGGAATATTAGTGCCAGAAATATTTTTGCACCGCTTGCAAAATATACCTTACAATACTCTGCTGTGCAGATATATTTCTGTATTTGTTTCACATCTATCTGCTCTTAAAATCATTGCTGCAAGTTGTCACTACTTTGTGCAGAAGCCCTACATTTGAGGACGAATTTAAAAATGGTCACATGGTCTACAGATCCCTTCAGCAACTCTAACTATACTGGCACTGAATAACCCTACCTAGGTGCTTTTTTTGGAAAAGTTCCTCAGAGCTGGACAGTATTTTTAGTTTCCCATACAAACTGCTAAAAATCTACTTGTGAGGCATCATGTTCACTGCCCTCCTCCTTAGCTTTCACTACTCTGAAGATAAAATAATGCAGAAAATGCAGCTTTCACAAGAAAAAAGATAACTTTGCCTAACTGGTATATTTTTATCCTTATGTCTCATATTACTATTTATATTTGCTTCTAGAAAGAACTTGCTAAAGACCCATATATTTTTTTTACATTGAAGTATCATTAGGAAACAAGTTTTGAGCCCAGTTTTGAGCTAGAAATTCAAACATACAGATCAGATAGATCAGATCAGATCATGGTCAGTCTAATCTAATAACCTTCTGACAGAAAGTGGATGATTCAGAAGAAGTTGCCAGAAACTTCCTAGGAGACAAATAGAGGGTAATCTGTCAGCCGTCTCCGAATTCCTTCGTAGCTAGAGATAATTTTAAGCCCTAAAGCACGAGGTTTCATCTTTCTTGGAAAATATATTAGCACTAACTATTACAGACCTGGAGCTTTGCTAATGAATAGCAAAAAGTCGACAAATATAAGAAGTGAAGTAGTGCAGGCATTACCTGTTATTGTGAAGCTTTGTATCGCTGAGCAATTATGTACTTCTTAACCAGGTTAAAGAATTATGGGGGTATAAAAATGGTGTAACAGGGTGAATATATAATACCTTTATGGCCCCTTTGATCCTTCAGAAACTCTTATATTCTGACATAAATGCTATAAAACTGATTAGTCTAACTAGTGGTTTGAAATGAGAAAACAGCTCTGGTATGCCTCCTGCTTGTTTGCTGTTTGGATGAGGAAAATGATGATTTAGCCTGTTAGAGTTTCGGGAAGAGTTAATGATGTAGTGCATATTTGTGAGCATGACTGGATCGCTAGTGCTACCACTAAAGATTATTACAATTTCATGAAAAGTGAATTTTTAACCTCACAGAAAACATTTTGAACTAACCTTTATGTTAGCTGATATCACTACATCACATAATCCCTTTAATCTAAAGCAAAAGACGAAGAAGAAGTAGGTGTACTTCTGTGAATTCATCTGTTATTCCATTTCTTTTCTTTCCAGACAACTATTACGGCACCCCAAAGCCTCCAGCAGAACCAGCTCCATTATTGTTAAATGTAACAGATCAGATCCTTCCAGGTGCCACGCCTGGGGCTGAAGGCAAGCGTAAAAGGAATAAGTCTGTGAGCAATATGGAGAAGACAGGTATTGAACCACCAGAGGAAGAAGAGGAAGAAAGACCTGTAGTCAATGGAAATGACGTAACAGTAACACCAGGTCTGTGCTTCCTTCTTACTTTGCACTGTGTTTCTGTTATTCACAGAGTCCTCAGTTACCTCCTTTTGCAGTGAGAATATTAATGTTCAGGTAAGAATGCTCTTGCAGACTCAAAGGCAGGAATCCTGAATAATAGGATTCCTGTCAAACATAAAACAAACCACTTACTTAACCTCCATTTTAGGAAGTCATCTCACTTACCTCAGCTACAGTAAAGGTACCCATCTCTAAGCTAGTCACCCTGAACCTTCTTTATAGCCAGAAGAGAAAAATGTCTACTTTCTGAACACGGTTCATGTGATCTTTTTTAGATTTCTAGGTTAGGAAATCAATCACAAGTGTCCATTTCTCTTCATAGGCTGTAGAGGGAGTCCAAAGAAGTAGCTGAGATGGAGGTATCTATAATTTTGTCAAATGGATCCCATCTCTGCGTTTCAGGTTTCCTTGCTCTAAAATGGTGATACTTCTGGCTCACAAGAGAATTCACGAGATTATAAAGTGAACTTTTATAAAATGCTATGAAATCTTAGAGATATTATGCTTGACAGCAAAGCTACCGATGAATTCATGGCAGTGCCAGTGAAACTTTGTTGCCAATACTGTTACCTGAGGATCAGGAAGCTCTGGGAAACCTGCGTAAGTTTCTAGGGGAGGTAGATAGGACCATTTTCAGCAATGTTCCAGATCGTGCATAAAGCTAATGAAGACCTCGGTTGCCTAATCCTAAAAGGTAGCTGTTGTTTTACCCCTTGGATCGTAGTTCTTCAGAAAAAGAGGAACTCAAGATATTGACTCCATCCTTTTCCCAAGCAGGTAGTCAGTTTCACCTCAACATTTCAGCAATAATCACCATTTTACAGTATTTAAACTTTTTTTTATTCTGAAATACCATTTTTTATGCTGAAATACCATTTAAGAAATGATTTTTTTTATTCACGTAGGAAATTAAAGATTTCAGGCATTTATATCTCTCTGAGAAATAACTCTGAGCTCTCTTTGGTGAACTTAGAAATTCAGAAACAAATGATTGAAGTAGAAGTCTTGTAGTGACAGTCACATAGATAAGAAGATAAAATGGTATATTACACGTTCTCTAAATGAATAGGTTAATGTAAAACAGTAAATGCATTCCCTAATCTTCTAAATGCTGTGAGAAGGATATTCATACTCCTGATGTTATATGTACTTTTTTTTCTCAATTAGAAAGTATATCAAATTGAATGTCTTTCCTTCATGGATATATCTATCTATCTGCTGGATATTTTTCTCTTTCTGTTGCATACAACATGTAAGCATTTGAGGGTAAGTCCCCTGGGCAGACTCCATCCCTGCGTCCACGCGGGCAGCAGAGAGGTGTAAGGGTGGAACACGTTCTCCCCCCTCCACTCCCCAAAGTCCTGCAGGATGACTGTCCGGCCGTTACCGTCACACGCTGTACAAGCTTTCCTCATTCCTTCCGCACAACATTGTATCTGTCAGCAGTACTCAGATGCTTAGTCCTTTTCCTACACAGCTAAGCTAAGCAAAAAAGGATGAAAGCCAGGATGAATCCTTACATAAAGCATCAGCGCTGGCTCTGTTGCCAGGATACTTCCACAGGGAAGGAAGCAAAGGCAGGATCTGGTCTGTGATGTGTGTTGTAGAAATCATTACAGAAATCATTCTCTGCAGTTATTTCAAAATGTGCCACGGACCCCACCATCGCTGAGGTGCAATTTCTAGAGCAATATATTCCAGTTCAAACTGGATCAACAGGAAGTATGTACCTGCTTTTCTCCTTGCTTTGTCCACCTATCACTCACTCCTCCCAGGCAAATTCTATGTGAAAGATGACCAGGCAGCACCCAAGAAGTAGACACTGGCATGTGCTGTGTTAAAAAAGGGAAACAGATGAGTAAGAGAGCTCCCCCCGTGCCCCCCTCCTCGCCCCCCACAAAGTAATTCCTGTAGGTGTGGCCAGCAGAACAAGCAGTGCCTGTGCTGCCTCTCATGGTTTCATAAGCAGCGTTTTGTTGCGCAGTTACACTGATTGAGGACTTTGGGGATTGTAGCAAAGCAGCTCTGTACATACATGCTGTGTTGCCTTTGTTGGGGAACGTAGCTCCCACGGATCCTGTTACTGTCGTCATTTTCTGTGTGAGCTGACAGAGTCGTAGCTGCCTCTAAAATGTATGTGCGTTTGTAGTTTGTGTCTTTGAAAAATCAGGAAAACCGAGGTGTGCTAACGTTTTGGGGGAGGTTCTACCCCTGGTGAAGGGAGCAGTGTAGTATTTATACAGAAACAACCAAAGGCAGGATGTTTGTTATTTCAAGTTCTTTTAGGAAGTATGTACTATTTTAAATGCCTCACTTCTAAAGGGAGTCTTTTATTAAATACAGGACTCTTGGGTCATCTAAAAGATTGATACATTTTTTATAGATGCTCAACAACTTGACATTGTATTACCTGCTAACAGCATCAGAGCACTAGCAAGAACTGCTGTAACACCTAGGACTGCTAGGCTGAAGTAGTAACAAATCTAAGATGAATCCAGAGAAAATTAACCTGTCTTTATCAAATCAGTAAGCAACATTTTTATTGGAGAGATCTTTGCCTTTGGTCTTATTTTTCATTTTAGTTTATGCCATTTCTTAACTGCTGATTGAGGAGATAATCTGCATGCCTGCTGAGCTTTATTAGTAGGAATCTATTTTTCATCCATATTTCCACATACCTTTCTCCCTATGCCATCAGATTTCCCTCTGACAGCTCTATATAGACAGACTAAAGATCTTCAAGAATGATATATAATTGTCTTCCTGTTAATTTGTGCTGCTCAGTGTGTTTCTTCTGTCTAATTTATATCACTTATCCTCAGCCCAGAACCCATCACGAAGTTTTCTTATTTCTTTAGGATGAGGTCTTTGGTCATTTTAGTCAGTCTTTCCTCCTGGATGAAGTTCTCTCAGCATACATTACCTGGGAGATGGGATTTATCTCATCCAGCCTTAGGAATTTATATATCTAAATGCTTTACTTCTTGTTTGAAGTAAAATATTTCATGGAATTTTTCTCTTGAAAAATAAGAAGTACCTCCAAAGAGTGAATGAGCATAGCTATTTGAGACACCCATTTTAGGGCATCCGCAACCTAGAATGCCTAACTGAGCTTACAACTACACAGAAACCTAGCTGGCTAAATTTAAATGAAGAATCCTATTATTGACGAAGCAGCGTACAAGAGACTCAATCTATAGAATTACTATTAAGATGGCCAAGTGACGATCAGGAGACTGAAGTTGTGTTGGGTATTTTTTTAATGCAATTGCCCACACTACCACTCGTGGCTCTTCTGGGTTGGGTCTCTGCCATTCACTGGTTTGGATAAGAAATCCTGCACCTGAGAAAGCTTTCCTGATGCACACTGTATTGAAATTAACAATTTCTGCAAAACTGATGGTTTGTCAGAAGAGGTAAAAAGATTGTTGGTCAAACTGCAACCAGCTTGTAAGATATTCACTGCTGTTGGAGTCTGCAAAGAATTAAGCCAGTCTCCTTCACAGCCAGAGTCGTGGTTTGACACGATTGGCCATGTCACATTTGCTTCACACTACTGTCTAATTATATATTTTTTTTTCCAAACTCCAAAAGAACCGTTCTGAAGTTGAAAGACTGCTCGTGTATGTGTACTGTTCTGACATTACTTGAACAATGATAAGTTGTGCCCAGAGAATGAAATTTCTGGCAGGCTCAAATTAATTGAGGGATAAGATATGACACAGAGTGAGTTTCAAAAGGATCATTGCACGCCTTAGGTTGATAATGAAGCAAAAGGCTAAAGTCTCAATGCCGTCAATCACCGCGTGAGGTGCAGTAGTCCCAGAGAACTGTTTAGCCTTATTCTCTTATTATTATACAGCAAAACCAGCCAGAGGCAAGAAAATAAAGGACATCATAGTACGCAAGAGCCATGAGATTTTAAAAAATACATAAGCTGCTATCCATTGATATTTCTACTGTAGGCGTGTGTCTAAATTCACCTTACCTCAGATAAGGCACAGCCTATGACCTACAAAATAACCTGTGCTCCCCCAATCTCCTTGTATCCCATTTTCCTTTCCCTGCATCAGCTCCTGGTTCTTACTGTGTTAGATTTCAGTGGGAACAGCACCTCTATGCAAAGCACTAAAGCCCAAATGTGGCTATAGCTCTGCAGGAAAGGGAAGTATTGCCTTACTCAGGGGCAACATGGGTTTTCCTCCAGCGGGAGTCAGCAACTCTTAGGCTGAAGAGAGATGTTTTCATAAGAAAATAGATCCCTGAAGCTCAGCAGACAACAGCTGAACATTTCTTGTATCCAGCAGTCATTCTGAAGGGATGGACTATTTCCTGTGGGGCACAAAGTGAAAACGCAGGAAGTTCCGTTTGAACATAAGGAAAAACTTTTTTACTGTGAGGGTGACAGAGCACTGGAGCAGGTTGCCCAGAGAGGTTGTGGAGTCTCCTTCTCTGGAGATATTCAAAAGCCATTTGGATAGGGTCCTGGGTAACCTTCTGCAGGTGATCCTGCTTGAGCTGGGGCGGGGGGTTGGATTAAATGCTCTCAAAAGGTGCCTTCCAACCTCAACCATTCTGTGATTCTGTGCAGGACTTGACAAATTACTCATTTATATACAATCAAGAGCTGCAATATTTTTTCCTTCACAGCTGCTAAAACCACTTCATAAATGAATATTTAATAATATTTCCTTTAATTTGTTCTCTGCTGTTATTGCTTAGGTCATCTGGGTTGATTCTTTTGAAAGAAAAGAATAAATTTTTAAGCTTTACTGCATGAATCATCTGCAACATTAACGGAACAAAGTGGCATGATCCTTTTACATGTTTAGATGGCAAATTTCAAGTGTTAGACTATAAATAATAGAAGCAGTTTAAAATGCAAGCAACATGTTGGTTGAAGGCTCAAATTCTGGGACTATCAAAACATAACTACTAGCTATTAAAAAAAAGTCACCTTATTT